AAAAAATAATATATAAATTTATCACAAAAGTTTAATAAAAAATATTATTATTTCAATACTAATCAATTTTGATTAAAATTAATCAAACTCGATTAAAATTAATCAGGCCCGATTAAAATTAATCAGGTCCAAACTAATCTCAAGTTTATTGAGTTTCACATGTTTTATAGTGCAAAAATTTATTTTCTTAGATATTTCTTATCGATGTGGGATATATTTATAGTGTAAAACCTTATTCTCTTATGTGTTTTTTATCGATGTGGGATGCATTGATTAGAGAAAATTGACAGTTTTTAGTGACGAAATATATTTTTTAGTGATAAATTATTTGGCCATCATCGATTGTGTAAGGTATATGTGACCAATATTAAAATTTTGTCATAATTGTAATGCATTATAGTGATGATTTTTATCGACAAAAGCTTATTTTATCTCTATGAACATTTTTCGGTGACGAAATATATTTTTTATGATGAATTTTTTTGTTCATTATTAAATATGTATGCATATGTGACTATTTTTTTAGATCTGTCACAATTGTGATAAGTTACAGTGATGATTTCAAAATTTATCATAAATTTCTGTCACTAAAAATCATTTTTCTTGTAGTGATTGTTTTTATCAATTAGTTAAAATTAGATTTAGTTCATAATTTTAAATAAACAAAAATTAAAGTACCATAGTGAACATTTTTTCAAAGTTAGGGGGGCAGTTGCATCCCCTTATCCAAGGGTAGCTCCGTCCCTGAGTGCAGATGTAGGGATGATGACTAGGCTTGGTCAAATTGCGGTGCGGTGGTTGACGACATTGCCAAGGGGTGGGTTCCCAACCACTCGTGCAACCACCATAAGCTCAAGTATTTGATTAGACTTTTTTTGATACTTTAGATGCACAATGGAATAGTCTTAATAGATTTATTTGCTTTTCTATAGCAATTAATTGCTTATGTAATTTATGGTAATTAAGGCTCTTAATTGTTCATATATGACAAAATCATCTATTATTAATGTTATAAGTTTAGTTTATACCTACAAGGAAAATCTTATTAAGATTTATGTATAATTTTTTTTATTATTAATAGATCTCTTGAATTTTTATTAAGAATCTGTTTGGTATAACGGTTTTAGAGTATAAGTTAGCAGTTTTATCCAAACTGTTAATTTAATTAAAAATTAGTGTTTAGTAAATTTGTATGTTTTGAAACCGTTAAAAATAAAATATTTGGTAAAAATTTTTATTTAACAATTTGAAACTAACATACAATGATTAGAATGAAAACCGCTAATGAATTGAAAAACTAGTTTAAGTAGTTTTTTTATATCACATTGCTACTAGATTGAAATTTTTTAATTTTATTAAAAAATTTATCTATTTTAATGTTTTAATTTTTTGCTACAATTTTTAATTAATAATTATCTAATTAGTTTCAATTTTTTGTTGCCTTTAATAACATTAAGTCATTATTAATATTTTTATTTTTTATATTAATTTATCATAAACAATATATTAGCTTAATAAAAAAAATTACTAATTAGACAAAATGATTAAATTTTTTATTTAAAAATAATATAATTTTCTCTTTGTTAAAAATGGAAATGAGTATGTTATTATATTATTATAATTGATTTTATTTATTTATTTTCTTATTATTATTTTTATAAAATTAATAATTTTAATAATAAAAAATATATAATATGCTTAATTATTTTTAAAAATATCTTTATTAGTTATTTAATATTAAACAACAACCGTTAACTATTATATAATTAAACAATTATATCGATCTAATTCATTTTTTTATTATCTGTTATTCACTTTTTGCCATTTTTCATCTGTTATTCGTTAATTACCACTCGTCACCTACTACTATTATTTATTATTTGCTACCCACTATTCATAAATTTTAACCATTATATCAAACAAATACTAAAAAAAAAGTTTCACCAACGTGATTTAGTTCTAATATTTTGGCCCTGTATCTCAATTGAATCTAATGGAAATTTATTGTGTTAGTCTACATAGACTGACTTAAAAACAACCACAACTAATCCAAATTTTATGTACTTGTAACTTGATAATAATCTCTATTACTATGTGGGTGTTTTAATTAATTAAAATTTTGAATTTTCAAATTAAGGATTTCAAATTCAAACTCTAAAAGACAAATGAGAAGGGATTAAGGGAAGAAGAATGCTGTCTCCAATCATATATCCTATCATCTAATATATATATATATATATATAAACTCTTTTTGCATTTTCATTATTAATAGATTTAATTTGACTTTTTGCCTATTATGGAATAAATTTTAGATGAAAATTTAACAATTTATATGAATAATAATTGAAATTTTTTGTTCTTATATATAGTTCTTGTAAATTATTAAATTTTCATATAACATTCATATTTTAAAAGTCAAAAAATCAAATTAGATCAACTAAAAATAAACAAAGGGGGCATTCCCTTTATTCAACTTTAGTAAACCTAGTTCCTTATTTAGAACATTCAAATTTAGTTATCTACTTTCTTTTTCAAAATGTCATTTACTAATGTATTTATTTTTTTTTATCATCATTTTAAAAGGTAATTATAATATATATTAAATAAGAAAAATTGATTTAAATAATACTCATACTTAACTAAAAATAAATATAAAAATTTATTAATAAATTATTATATCTATATTTTATTATTAAAAAAATTTATGTCTACAAAAAGTCATTGAAAGGAGTAACAATAATTTCTTTGTTATGAATCAATTTATTATAGATGCTTCACCTTCATCTTCTTACCTCCCAACTTTCCATGACATTTACACACCTACTAATGGCGTAACTTTCAATCCCTCCATACAATTACAATGTTGATTAATACTCTCATAATGCCATGCATTTGGATAGTGATAAAGAAATTCCTTATAACTCTTCAATTAGTAGGAGATTAATCTTTATAACCTTTCATTTAGTAAGTGTTTATTTTTTATAATTCTTATCTTTTATTGGCTGCTATATATAGGGCCTGTACTCTTGTAAATATATGAAAATGTATAGATAACAAATGAAGAAAAAAAATAGAAATATAATATATATTTACATTGCTTCATTTTATCTCTCTAATTGAATTTTTTTTTTTTTTATAAGGGTAATGGTTGAGGTTAGTATGTTAGAGGTATTAATAGAGGATATTGAACCTGAAACATGAGAGTGACAGCAAGTGGTCACTGGATCACGGCAGGTGCTATGCTATCTCTCTAACTGATTCTTTCTTATTTTACAACAATTTTTTACTAATCACCGTAACAATCTTTTACTAATCACCGTAACTTATGCAGCCGAAGTCGGCCCATTCTAACAAGAGTCAAGCTCTATCTGTAGTTCAAGACCTCAACCTTTTCCACGGGCCGTAAGTCCATAAACCAACCACTTTTGTCTATGACCATCTTCACGCTTCTAAATTGCTTGAAAAGTAATGGGCCCAATCAGGCCCCTACGTTTTGTTTTTAAATGTCAGATGCAATCAAAATGTCAAATCAAAGCTCTCTTCCTCATACTTTGGTAGAGCTACCTTGTAAATGCATTTATAGATTTTTTTTATTTTTTAATATTTTAAAAATATATAAATATATTCAATATAATTAATATTTATTTTAATTAACACTTTACATATTTTTAAAATAATAAAAAGACAAAAATTAAAAACTAAAATGTTGAGAAGTATTCTTAAATTAATTCTAAGGTTTCGTAACTTTCATTTAGTTTTATTGTATTTTTTTTGTTTTAATTTTAGTTTTTGAAAAAAACATTTACACCTGCTAAAAACTAAAAACCAACGATTTATTTACAATAAATTTAACGCTAACAAATAACACTATAAACTACTTGCTCAATATTGTTAGAATTATTTTTGTTTTAATTTCTCTAATAATTATACAAATAATATGTTAAAAATTATACATAAACTAAAATATTTTATTTAAAACTACAAAATTTATAAAAATTACAAATTACAAATTAGAAATCACAACCATACTCCTTAGCTAATCACATCAATTGAGTGACTCAATACAACTTTTGTGTGTTTCTAAGCCCTCAGGAATCTTTGAACCTTTGGTTCAATCAAGGCACAAACAGACTTTGACGAAGTGTGAGGGACAGGCGACAATTGGTACTTTAAAGATAGTTGTGTTCTGTTGGAACAAAATCAATACAATATGTCAATAGAAGCCAAAAATCACATTGGCAAAGCTTTTTCGTCCTTCTAGTTTTGGATTGCCTAACATTTTCTCCAATCAAATGAATCAAGAATAAATTAGCTTCTGACGAATTGTTTAGAAGAAGACAGCATTTTCTTTAGAAATCTTTGGAGCCACGTTAAGGATAATTAGATTAAATCAGAAAACCTCACCTTTTTACTTTGGAATTAATTTGATCAAATTCTTATTGTTACATTTTTTTTTTATTAAAGAAGCTAAGAATAGCTTAATTTTAGCCATACTCCTTAACTAATATCACTTGGGTTCGATATTTTGTAAAAAATCTTTTATGCTACAAGAATTGAAGTTGAGCCAAATACAATTTCTTTAAAATGTATTCTTATTTTTTAAAAAGTGCTTTTCAACTTCTAAAGGGCTCTAAAGAGTTAAGTTCCTAAATTTAATAATTTTTTTATTATTTTTAAAAACTTTTTATTTTATGATTAATTATATATAAATATTATTTATTCAACACTTCTTCAAAAAATTATTCGAACAAAACTTCTTCAAAAAAACTACAATTAATTAGCTCAAACAGGCTTGGTGCATCTCTTGTGTTAGGTTATGTAATTCTACAATCCCTTGGGTAGAAAAGTTTAATAATCAATTTTATTAGAAAGCAAAAGCGTGTGTCTGGGTTTTGGTTTCTCCTCTCTATTTTTCCCTATTGTTTGATTTTTCAATGGAATTCAAAGTAGGAAGCTTTCTTATATGCAGACTACTAGGATATTTTCATTTTGATTGCTTAATTAATTACCATAATACAAGATTTCTGTACTTTTAATGCAAAAAACAATTCCAAGTGAGTCCTCTGTTGTTTTGTGCTTTATTCTTAATGCAGGCACAAGGCAAAGATTTATTGGATGATCCAATAATTAAATTTGATGACAGATTTGCCCTTGATAATGATTGGGATATGATGGAAATTGTTGGACAAATTAGACATTTTAGGGAAGATGTGTTGTGAAATCAAAACAAAAGCTGAAAAGCAGACTCACATACTGCTTTTTGTAAGTCTTCAACTTTGCCTTCTTTTATAGTCGTAATTGGGGTGCTCATTTTTTTGAGAGCCAACAACAAAGGAAATATGCTATGTTCAGAAGAAGCTCTTCTTAGCCTCTTCAGCAATCTCTCTAGCTCCTCCTTCCTCCTCCTCCTCTTCTTCTACTCTTCTTCCATTCTCCTCCTCAAGCTCTTTCGCTTCGTCGGCAGCTATCCGCTCTTCAAAAGGTATGCTCCTCTTCTTCATATTTTTGTATCATTTTAAATTGCAAAACTAATTTTATTTGTAATAGTTAAGCATTAACTTTTTGCTGATAGAAAAGTTCAAAATTTGAAGTGTCATTGTTTTGCCTTTTGTTGTCTTGTAGAAATCAAAATGACTATGGTATGTTTTCCGAGTATGAGGAGGAGGAAGAAGAAGAAGAAGAAAAAGAAGAAGAATATAAAGGTAGGCACAATTACCATGTCAACTACATGGAAAAAGACCACCTTGTGGCCGACGTAATCCAAGGCGGTAAATCTATTGTGTTCTTGCCTAATCAAGATCAAGCTGAGCAAGATCATCATGAATATTCCATGAATCCCCCTGACTTGCAAATGAACTCTGGAGATCAAGAACATTCAAGTTATAATTCTACAGAACAGTTCTCCGCTCATGACTCCCCTGTAATTCCAGAAACAGATCAAAATGATAATGACGATGATGATGATGAAGATGGGTCAGAAGAAGAAGAGATTACAACAGAAGATGCTGATTCACTTCAGGAATCTGATGCAAATCAAAATGTTCCCACAGAAGCAATAGTCATAGACCTCAGCAAAAGTACTACTCATCCACCGACAATGGATGGACATGAACATGATCATCATGGTATGTGGTCAAGAACAGTCACATGTATTTTTAACGTTTTTCTGCTGATTATATCTTTGTACTTCTAATGTTATCACTTGACCTGACATTGTTTCTCATGCTGTGCAGAAAATCACAGTGATGGTCAAGAAACCGGGGACAGGATAAATTTTTCAAAAGATGAAAAGTTTTTAATTTTTGCACCGAGACGATCGGAGGCTAAGAGGGTTGAGGCTAACGAAAATGATGATGAAAAGATCTTTGGGGACTCCTGCACCATCGGTTCCACCTCCAAGAGCTCCTCGGAATGGAGAAGCTCCATCAATTGTAGAGATTCTGTTACTGATGACCCTTTCTCTTCTTCGTCACGAAGAAGTTGTCCTAAATGGGAATCCTACACTGTTTTCCAAAAATATGATGAGGAAATGATGTTTCTGGACAGAATCAGTGCACAAAAACTCCATGAAACAGGTAATGTTTGCAGCCATTTTTCTTCTTTTAGTATGTTTTATTGTAGAGCATACAACAGAGATAGTAGACTGTGTTGCCTAATGTTCGAATCTTATATCAAAATAGATGTACGATTGTGTCTTTTATATATAAATGACCAGACACCATTAATAACTCAAGTTTTTGAATATCACCACAGAACCTTTCTAAAGAGGTTATTACATATTAGCTTAATTGTCATTACATAACATTTTTTTTTTTATCTTAAATTGCATAATAAAAAGCAATTCCCTCTCAAATCTTAATTTATTTCACTTGCATGAAATACTACTTAAAATCAAGTTTTTTCACATTCACTAAAAGGAGATTATTGCTGAACATTTTCTTATCAAAATCATGTTTGTAAAGTGGGAATATTGAAAAAGGACACGATTCATTACATGGATTTGTCTTTTCAGAGTCACTTAGGTCCATACAAGTTTGTCCGAGGTCGATTTCAGAGAGAATGGTACACAAGTTTGCCACAATCAACAAGAAGCCAGACATCAGACACAACCCATATCATGAACTGGAAGCTGCATATGTTGCTCAAATTTGCTTGACATGGGAGGCTCTGAATTGGAACTACAAGAACTTTGAACAGAAGAGAGCTACTCGGGGCCGAGATTTCGACATCGGCTGTCCAGCCGGTATCGCTCAGCAATTTCAGCAATTCCAGGTTCTTCTGCAGCGTTACGTGGAGAATGAGCCTTATGAGCAGGGGCGGCGGCCGGAGGTTTATGCCCGGATGAGGCTTTTGGCACCCAAATTGCTTCTAGTACCAGAATACAGAGGTACTAATCTGCCTTAGACTTCAATTAATTTTCACAAATCCAAA